GTAACAGATTGAATTTAGGAACATATAAAATGACTTATATAACATGACCAAGAGGGATTTCACTCAAGTATGCAAGATTGGTTTAACATATTAAAATCAATTAATTTAATATACCATAATTTAATATACCATAACTAATAAAATAATACCATAATTAATAAAGTAACAAAAATATTATGGTTCAATATTGCAGAAAGAGCATGTAACAAAATCTAATACCTGTTTATTATAAAAGCTCTCAACAAACTACAAAAAGAAGGGAGATTTCTCAACCTGATAAAGGACATCTTTAAAAAACTTGCAGGTAACATAATACTTAATGGAGAAAGATTACCTCAGACTGGGAAAAAGGCAAGGATATTTGTCCTTCCCACTTCTGTTCAACCCTCTACTAAATGTTCCTACTAGTGCAAGAAGGAATAATAAAAGGAAATTAAAGGCACCCAGATTGGAAAGGAATAAGTAAAGCTGTCTTTATTCACAGACGACATCATCTCATATATAGAAAATCCTAAGGAATATCTACCAAACACACAAACTGCTAGAATTAATCATTGAGTTTAGCAAAGTCATAGGACATAAGATCAATATACAAGAATCAACTGAAATTACACACATAGACACATACACAAAGATAATTTCATTTCTATATACTAGCAAGGTATAATCCAAAAATAAAATTAAGAAAACAGTTGCATCCACAATAGCATCAAATAGAATAAGATAGAAATAAAGTTAACAAAAACTCTTGAGTAAGGCTTTCCTTTATAGGGGAAAGAGCATACTTGCCTTCTTATTTCAGTTTGCCTTTGAGTACAGTAAACCCCTGATCTTGTGGACCTCGATTTAATGGACTTTAGATTTAATGAACGAAATTCCCGGTCCATATGTCTTATGTTAAAATTAACACCCTACTAATTTTAAAATGCTTTTCCCTGGCCAGTGTGGCTCAGTGTTAGAGCATCAGCCCATCCACTGAAGGGTCTCCGGTTTGATTCCCAAGTAGTGGATTGCAGGTTTGTTCTGGCTAGGGTAGGGAGGAGGGAGGAAGGGAGGGAGGCGAGTGCGGGAGGCAAACAATCCATTGCCTCTCACATCCATATCTCTTTCCTCTCTCCCTCCCTTCCACTCTATAAAAATCATGGGGAGCCCTGACCAGTTTGGCTCAGTGGCTAGAGCGTCAGTCTACGGACTGAAAGGTCCCAGGTTCGATTCTGGTCAAGGACATGTACCTTGATTGTGGGCACATCCCCAGTAGGAGGTGCGCAGGAGGCGGCTGATCGATGTTTCTCTCTCATTGATGTTTCTAACTCTCTATCCCTCTCCCTTCCTCTCTGTAAAAAATCAATAAAATATATATATTTTTAAAAATCAATGGGGAAAAAAATATCCTAGGGCAGGGGTGGGCAACCCCTGGCACGCATGCCAAACATGGCACGCCAGTAACTTTTGCTGGCACTCGAAACCCTCTCTTATAATCTTCCATTTACAATTTTTTCTTAATATCGACTTTTTTATTTTTCAGATAAATTCAGTGTAGGTGCATCTTAGATAAATAAATAATTTTACATAACAAGTTATCTTAAAGACCATAGACATGGATTGACGAGAGAGGGGAAGAGCAATTTCAGTAGTGTCAAAAACGAACTATTGAGGACTTGGAATGCCATTCCAGAAAATTTTTTCTGTTTAAAAAACTTTGCAACAGCGTTACTCTCCATGTTTTCATCCACATACGCTTGTGAATCTTTGTTCTCAGTGATGAATTTTGTTAAGTCTCATAATAGGAGTAGCCTGATGGATGAAAGTAGTAGCTCGTGCATATCTCTGAAGGTCACGAAATATAAACCTGATGTAAAATCTCTGTCATCAGTGATGCAGCAGCAAAAGTCCCACTGATAATATCAAATAGAGTCATAAAGTTTTCTGTCGGACTATCAGTGTACATGTATACATTAAAAAATAAATGTATTTTTCATCATCATATACTATACTTTTGTCGCTCGAATGAATTTTATTATTTCTTCAATGTTCTTCACATACGTACACCTTAAGAGATAGCAAGTAGGCGTAACATGTTCTCAAAAAATTAGGGTTGGCACGCAGAAGAATTTTGAGTCAGAGATTTTGCTGGTTTTGGCACGCACTCACAAAAAGGTTGCCCATCCTGTCCTAGGGCGAGGATTAACAACAACAAAAAAAGAAAGTTGCTTCTAACCTAGATTTGCTTACCAAGTTCTGGGAATGATTAGAATGTGATCACACTGCATCATGTGTGCAAGTTGGTTCTGTTGTTTTGTGGAGTGACTTTCTGCAGCAATTTGTGTGTATGTGTTTTTTTAATCTTTATTGTTGAAAATATTACAAAAGGTCCTCCTTTTCTCCCCATTAACCTCTTCCAGCCTGCTTCCTTCTCCCCCCACCCCCAGGCCCTAACCATCCCATTGTCTGTGTTCACTAGTTATGCATATATGCATATAAGTTCATTGGTTGATCTCTTCCCACCCACCCTTCCCTGCCTTCCCTCTGAGTTTCAATAGTCTGTTCATGCTTCTATGTCTCTGGGTCTATTTTTTTTTTTAATATATTTTTATTGACTTCAGAGAGGAAGGGAGAGGGAGAGAGGGATAGAAACATCAATGATGAGAGAGAATCATCAATTGGCTGCCTCCTGCATACCCCACACCAGGGATTGAGCCCGCAACCTGGGCATGTGCCCTGACCAGGGATCGAACCCTGAGCTCCTGGTTCAAAGGTCAATGCTCAACCACTGAGCCACTTCATAGGTCAAAGCTCAACCACGGAGTCATGCCAACCAGGCTCTGGGTCTATTTTTGATCATCAGTTTATTTGGTTCATCTACAGATGAGTGAGATCATGTGATATTTATCTTTCTCTGACTGGCTTATTTTGCTCAGATCCATCCATGCTGTTGCAAATGGTAAGAGTTCTTTCTTTTTTATTGCTGCATAGTATTCCATTGTTTAAATGTACCGAAGTTTTTTTATTCACTCATCTGCTGGTGGGCACTTAAGCTGTTTCCACATCTTAGCTATTGTAAGTTGCGCTGCTATGAACATAGGGGTGCATATATTCTTTCTGATGAGTGTTTCGGGTTTCTTAGGATATATTTCTAAAAGTGGGATCACTGGGTCAAATGGAAGTTCCACGTTTAATTTTTTGAGGAAATTTCATACTGTTCTCCACAGTGGCTGCACTAGTCTGCATTCCCACCAGCAGTGTACTAGGGTTCCCTTTTCTCCACAACCTCACCAACACTTGTTGTTTGTTGATTTGTTAATGATGGCTATTCTGACAGGTGTGAGGTGATATCTTATTGTCATTTTGATCTGCATCTCTCTGATGATTAGTGACTTTGAGCATCCTATATAATAAAGAGCTAATATGCTAATTAGACTAGACGGTGGAACAGCCTTCCGTACGACCTTTCGGAACAGCCAGTGGGTGGGGGCCAGGGCTGCAGGGCCACGAGGCAGCCAGGGCGGAGGCAGCAGGGACCGTGAAGGCCTACTTTTGCACGAATTTTGTGCATCGGGCCTCTAGTTTTTTTATATGTCTCTTGGCTTTCTGTATGCTCACTTTGGAGAGGTGTCTATTTAGGTCCTTTGCCCATTTTTTAATTGGATTGTTTATCTTCCTTTTGTTAAGTTGTATGAGTTCCCTATACATTTTGGAGATTAACCCTTTATCAGATGTATCATTGGCAAATATGTCCTCCCATGTAATGGGCTCTCTTGTTAATCTGTTGATGGTTTCTTTTGTAGTGCAGAAGCTTTTTATTTTAATGTAGTTCTGTTTGTTTATTTTCTCCTTGGTTTCCATTGTTCTAGGAGTTGTATCAGTAAACATATTGCTACAAGAGATGTCTGAGATTTTGGTGCCTATGGTTTCTCCTAGGACTTTTATGGTTTCACGTCTTACATTAAGTCTCTTATCCATTTTGAGTTTATTCTTGTATATAGCGTAAGTTGGTGGTCTAGTTTCATTTTTTTGCATGTACCTGTCCAATTTTCCCAACACCATTTATTGAAGACTCTGTCTTTGCTCCAACATATGCTCTTTCTCGAGCAGTTTTAACACCAGTGGGTTGATGTTCTGATGTGCACTAATCCACGTCCCAGCCGTGTGCATTTGTTTACCTCTGGTGACTGGTGAATTTACTAAAACTATTAAGAATAAATTTAAAATGATTTTATTTTTTATTTATTTTTTTAAATGATTTTAATACATATAGAACACTTTCCTGTGAAATTAAACTTTTCATACATATTTAATTTTAGTTACACAAATGTGTCTACATAAATAAAAACAGGTAAATTAAGTTATCAATTTTTTAACATATGCATTCAGAAAACCTACTCACGTACTAGTAAGAGAGTTTTGGCCACCTCCTGACCTGAATTAGTCCATTATATCGAGGTTTTACTGTAATTGTCTACAATTCATATAACTTCTCTGAACCTCATTTTCTATTATACTACTTGCTTCACATGAGCATTAGAACATATTTACAGTGCAAAGCATTACACAATGATAATTGTGCTTAATAAAGCACACAGGAGCTGTTTGCCTTCCCAGTCTACTAGATGAAGTGATTTGAAAATGCGCTTATGAACCTTGGCAACTTAGTCACATAGATTCGGGTTGGCTGTTCTGCCATGCAGCAGAGGAGCCGTCATTCTGGGCCCAGTTAGTTGGGACTGTTCCCAGCAGTCTTGTTCAGTCTTTACCCTGAAATCATTAGCAAACCATTTATCTTTGACACTGTGATTTGTCCATTAGGTGAAAGGTTGCAACTTTCACTTGTCATTTTGGAATACCTTTTTCTTTTCTTTTTTATGTTATGAAGTTTTAGGAGGAATTTTAGTCACAGTATATTCAGTAACTAATTGTTCTTTAAAGCTGCCATTTTTTGAGTATTTCAGTTTGTTCCATTGAATTTAACTGTTTTTCCCCCCCTTCACTTTCCTCTTCTTAAGGGCTTACGGCAGCCAGCTCCTTTTTCTGATGAAATTGAAGTAGACTTTAATAAGCCCTATGTCAGGGTAACTATGGAAGAAGCCAGCAGAGGAACACCTTGTAAGTAAATGCCCTATTATTTTTTGTTTTGTTTTTAGCATTCAGTTGTATTTATCAAATTTAGGCCCACTTTCTATATTCTTCCCTCAGTTTACCTATAAAGACTAGTTGGGACAAGGGGGAATGAGTTCCTTCTAGTTCCCTTGCTGTTCTTTTGGGAGGATAACTACTCCACAAAATTTCATTTTTTTAAATTATGTTAGGCACTTGTTTCCCAGGATGTTATCACAACTTTGAGATATAGTAGTACATATTTGCTTCTTGGGCTGTTGTCACAGTTATGAGATATAGCAGAGCTGGACTTTAACCTTATCGATTTTTACAGAGGTCCAAATAATATGTCAGGCTATCACATTTTTAATAACCTTCAAATTGTTCCCCAAATCTTCCTTTCTATCAGTAAGTACCCTAGCTATTATGCTATTAATGATAGAAGACAAAAATATCTCAAGTTCAAAGATACTCATCACTTAATTTTATCTTTCTTGATATTATCATTTTCCAGTGTTTTAAAGACTCACTTTATTATTTTCAAAGCTCATACTCTTTATTTGTATGCTTAGTTTACATAATATATGTATTCTAGATACTCAATTGGTTTTAGGGATCATCATAAATAGGAACTTCCATGATCATATGTTGTGAATACAGTCTTATAGGCAGCTGTTATTACTTCTTTATAAATTCTTCAATTCTCCTTTTATTCAATCCTTCTTTATTTTTTTCAATTACTATAGTAAATATTTTGTCTACTCTGTAAACATAGGTCTTGACTCAAACTCAGGCAAGCACTAGGGAGTAAGAAGCAGTTATAGCCACAAATCTTTATGGAAGACCAGAGGCCCAGTGCACGAAATTTGTGCATGGGTGCAGTCCCTAGGCCTGGCCTGCGATCGAAGCGCGAGCATTTGGCATGGAAGGGCAGGTCCTAGCTGAACTCTGGGCCCTGGGCAGCACCGGGGCCCTCAGGCCCCTGTGCACCCACCTCCGCCTGAGTCACAGCTCCCAAGTCCCCACGCGGAGATGCAGTGAGCATGGCCAGATGTCGCGGACTGGGGTGCAGCATGGGCCTCTGGGCTGCCCAGTGGCACCGCAAGAAAGGCGGGGGTGGGGGGGGGGGAAGCTCGCTCTCTCCTTGCAAACTGGCTCCTGCGCAAACCCACAGGGATCCTGACCCGCCCCTGTGGTCCCGGTGGCTGTGGCCCGGCTCACCCAGAAGAGGCTGTGTGGGTGCGGGGCAGGCTCCTCATGGGTGCCCAGTACCTGAGTGCAGGGGTTTCCTGGCGCAGGAGCCCTGGCGTCCCGGGAGAGGGTAGCAGGGGGAGTGAGAGCGAGCTCAGTGGACACCCTGCATTCTCAGCACACCTCCGTCCCCATCACCCCCGCCCCCAGGTAGCCGGTGAGAGGTTGCAGCCCCCTGCCCAGGCTCCACAGGAGGTTGGTCGCTGTCACCCACCCCCAGGTCCCCATCCCAGCCCGGGCCAGCCCTGATCCTATCAGGGCCTGCCGGCTGCTGGTGACCATCTGTGGGTTGATTGGGGCCGGGACCCCCACTCAGCTCCCTCAGTACCTGGGAGCCGGGCAGAGGACCCGCCCTTCCCCCTGACCCCTCCCCCCCGCCACTGCCACTGCCACTGGTCGCCATTTGCAGGGCAATTGGACCCCCGCTTGCACCCGCCTTGGCCTGGTGCTGCCCGCTCACCTCCTCCACCATCCTGCCATGGGCCCACTCTCGTCAGGGCCCATCAGGGCCGGCATCGCCTCCTCTGCCACCCGCTGCCACCACTGCGTTGCCAACTCCCACAATGTTCCGTGCTGCCCCTGGTGGTCAGTGCACATCATAGCGAGCAGTCGACCTCCTGGTCAAACAACTTGCATATTAGGTTTTTATTATATAGGATATTTGTGGTTACTTCTTTTTTATATATATATTTGTTGATTTCAGAGAGGAAGGAAGAGAGAGAGAGAGAGAGAGAGAGAGAGAGAGAGAGAGAGAGAGAGAGAGAAAGAAACATCAGTGATGCGAGAGAATCATTGATCGGCTGCTTTCTGCATGCTCCACACTGGGGATCAAGCCCACAATCTGGGCATGTGCCCTGGCCAGGAATCAAATCATGACTTCTTGGTTCACAAGTCAATGCTCAACCACTGAGCCACACCGGCTGGGCTATGGTTACTTCTTAATTATGTTAGTATATTTGCTCCCTTTTTAACTGAGGAATAGTGAAATGCGAATAGAAATGAATGCAGTACAGTCTCAGGCCAGGGATCCCAATACCCCTTGACTATGTCTTGGCTCTATGGAGTATAGTTTTGGATCCTCAAAATTTCAAAGAATGCTTTCCTTTTGCAAAAGTGTTTATACATGTTGATTACAACCCTTCTGATTCATGATGTGATGTTTTGGGTTTGGTTCCCCTTGTTTGAGGGATAGAGGCTAATGGAGCAGGTAAAATGACAACACGGAAAAACATGTGGCTATTTGTAACAAGGTGTAATGCTGGCAGGTCAGATTTCAAAATGCCACCAAATAGTACAAAGGTCACATTCAGATGTGATAGCAGAGTCTACTGAGGGCAAGAACTTCCATGCACTCTAATGACACAGTTTCAGAATTCAGTACCTCACTCACTTCTGACCATGTTAGTTATGTTACCCACTTGAGATACATAACACATATGTGTGTGTAGATGTGCTTTTCAAAAGTTTGGAAGCCTATAGTTAATAGGTACTAATAAGTCTAATTTTTTAAAATTTAGAATAATATAATTTTACAAGTAGTCCATTTTTGAGATAATATACTTTATAGTCTCTTTATTATACTATCTGCAACAAGAAGTTAAGGTCCATAGAAACTTAAAAGTAAAAGCTCCTCTACAGTAAAACAAATAATTAGTGATAAAATTTAAGCTAAAACCTAAGTTTTCCCATCTTTGTGTTCTTTTCACCCTAGAGTGGTGTGACTCTTCATAGACATTAGTTATTAACAATAGAAGACCATTGGCCAACTGGTTGTATTTTAGGTGGCACATATAGGCACAAACTAGCCTATAAAGTTTGCTAGCCTAATTCTGTCTCCAGTGTTTCTCCTGTATCTCCTTCTGCCTGTTCTGTTTTATGTTAAGTAGCCGAGTAACTGGTTGAATTCATGCCAGTGCTGGCCAACAGATGAGCCAGCAATGAATCTGCATATAACATGCCATAGTTGGTGAATTTTAAACAAATAATTAGCATGAGGGGGCATTCCTCTCTCTGCCCCCAGGTTTTCACTTAGGAGGTTAAGGGAGTACAAGAGGGAAGTTTGATCTAGGAGAAAACTCACTACCCAGAGAAAAAACAAATAGGACTTGAGAAATAAGATAATCTCTTTTGAAAAAAAAAAGAAAGAAAGAAAAATCAGTGATATGTTCTCTGGGAGAAAGGAAGAAAAAGCAGAGTCTGAAGGACAGTGGAAATCTGTTGGGGACAAAATAGATTTGGTGATAGGTATTTGAGAGAATATATCAAAAGAAACAATAAATTGAAATGCAGGTCTTTTGGGCCTAAAGGAGAACATCTTGTTTGTTAGCTAGCAGTAGTGAAAGGACTGTTAATTTGTCATTCAAATCAGGACCATTTTGAGAATTAAAGGGTCCGTGCTTAATAATATGCTGAGACAACAGATGTAAATCAGAGGGAGGGTCTGGTTATCCTGGCCAATAGCCAGTTGGTGAAAGAATGGATAACTTGTGCTTTGTCCTCAGATTTTCTAGTTCAACAGTGGCCCCTTCTGGTTATTTGGTTAATATACCAGCCTGGTTTCACCAAAGACTGGGGGTTAAGTCATAGGGAATAGAGAAGTTGGGAGGTTGGGGAAACACTAAAGAGGGCAAGAAGCACATCTGGCACTGGTCTGACAAAAAGGATTCAGTGGTGATGTGACCTAATATGGGGTGATGAGCTTCTGGCAAATAGCCATTGCATCAACAGCATTCTATGCTATTTCCACTGTTAGGAAATCTCACTTTGCCCTTGATGAATGCTAATGGCAGAAAAACAACAAAATATTCTTAATTTTTATATTCTATCCTTTGTCTTTAAAGATCAAGTAAAGTGAGATCATAGCCACTCTGGACTTGTTTAGGAAAGATGGAAGTCTGTTAGTTACTTCATGGTCATGATTTCTAGGATGTAGATGTGAGATTATATCACTCAGATTTTGTTTTGTTTTTTATAGATGAGGAAACAGGCTTAAAGAGGTTAAGAGTACAGAGGAAAGAGACTGGTTGGCAAGCTTGAAGTATAACCTTTCTGACTTTTTAGTTCATCGTATTATTTCTCAGTTTTTCATTGTATTGGTGTATTTGTTTTATTTAAAAATTTTGTCTCTTATATTATAAAATCAATACATTGCCATGCTTAACATTCATAAAGTACAAAAAGTTAATATAGAGTGAAATATCTTCCTTTCACCACTGTCTCTCAGCCACCCAGTATCCCTTTTATGGGCAACCAGTTTTACCAATTTTTGTGGATATATAAACAAATAATCTATAAATCCTCCTACCCTTTTAATGTGGCTTGGTATATTCAGCCTTTCATTGAAACTTAGGTTGTTTCTTTTTTTTATGATAGTTTTTTGTTTTGTTTTTAAATATATTTTTATTGATTTCAGAAAGGAAGGGAGAGAGAGATAGAACATCAAAAATGAGAGAGAATAACTGATCGACTGCCTCCTGCACACACCCTACTGGGAGTTGAGCCCACAACCCAGGCATGTGCCCTTGGCTGGAATCGAACCTGGGACCCTTCAGTCCGCAGGCCGAAGCTTTATCCATTGAGCCAAACCAGCTAGGGCAAAACTTAGGGGTTTTTTTCTAAACTTCTTACTATTACAAACAATGCTGCAATGAATGATATACACTTTTACATATATATCTGTGAGATAAATTCCTAGAATTGGAATAGCTGTGCCAAACGGTATTAGCATTTGTTATTTGACTTTTGATATATATTGCCTAATTGCCCATCTTAAGTTGTATTAATTTATATTTCTATCAGCAATATATAATTTCTCAGTTTAAAAGCTACTTGTTTATGGATAAACCTATCTGGAAAGAAAAGTCCATAAGCTTCCTGAGAACCAGTTTCCTCCCCCTTGATTCAGGGTCTTGAGTCAGAAGGCAGGAGAGACAGGTATCTGATCCCCGCCTTCAGTATATCTGATGAGACTCTGGCCCTTCTTTCCCAGAGTGATATAGACACTCCTACTGTTATATTCTGCTGCTACCGTGAAGTAGCTTTTCCTCTATTCACATAGTAGGAATATGGTACTGGGACTCGTCAGAGTTATCATTTGAAGCATGATGAACCATTATGTCAATTTACTCTCTATGTGTTTATTTGGATTTGGATTAGTCTTACGGTTTTTCTTTCTAGTCCACTACCACACACAAAAAATTGACAATCAGTTCTTTATTATTCTCACTAATGGAGAGAAGAATATTTATATAGTTGATTTTCAAATACTTGGTATATCACCCTCTACTGAGAAAGTATAACATCATGCTCACTGTCAAGGAGAAATGCTTGAAGGAATTCCATCTGTTATCCCAGAGCAGGTATTGAGGGTGAATCTGGGACTAAGGAGCAATAAATTGATACCTGGTACTTACCTTCCATCTTTCTTAATCTCACCTTTCTGGATCACTCCTTACTCTCTGGGTAATAGTATGGAGGCTTATTTTCAAAGCAAAGCATTAGTCATTAGTATTCAGGGCAGCTTGAAAATGAGAGAGCAAACAGCCAAATTATATTATTTTGTTCATATGTAACTGAAGTTTAAACCTGAACTGAAGGTGAGGATTTTGAAGTTTTGGACTTACCTGTTGTATAACTCTTCCTTTTCATATCTAAAAATAAGAAAAGATAATCATGAAATCCAATTGCCTAAGCAGTTTGATATACCCACACTAACCGAGTTCATGGACATGACGTCAAAAGGTCTTTGTCGCCAACGACGTCTGTGATGTTACTCCTCACAACACCTTAGGAGAGGTGTATGCTGGGATGGAATAGTCACACAGTGCCATTTCCATTTGTCGAATGAGATATTGAATCAGTGTATTTTTGTGATAAATTTTCTTTTGGATTTAGGTGAGCGACCTGTGAGAGTTTATGCAGATGGAATATTTGACTTATTTCATTCTGGTCATGCCCGGGCTCTGATGCAAGCAAAGAACCTTTTCCCTAATACATACCTCATTGTGGGAGGTAAGAAAACATCTGATGACTTTAGGTGCTGCCCAGAAAAAAAATTATAGTAGTCCTTTTCTTCTACCTTTATAACCTGAGTATATTGGGTCTTGTTTTGTTTTTTAAATGAAGGATCTAGTACAGCCTCTCTAAAACATGACGTATACGAACCTGGAGAGAGAACTTCCAAGCTCAGTGACCTGAGATGTCCAGTGTTTATCTCACTGTTTTTAGCTGAATTTCTGTAGTCACAGGAGACCCCTGTTGCCTATTTGAGAATGACATTCACTCTGAATTTCAGTTTATGATTTTGAATCGCCTGAATTACAAAATTCAGCTTAACAAATTTCATATGGCCCAGTCCAGTCTTATAAAAATATAATAGGAAAACATCTTATAAAACTTAACTGATGCAGAAATGCATGACAGGTTTATTTCAAAGCCTGTTGGAGCCTCTCTTCTCCAAAGTGTGAACATACTATTTAGTGAGCGTTGCTCCTGAAGGTGTATCTTGGATTAGGGAAAGCAGTCACCCAGACTGAGCTACCCTACAGAAGATTTGTCTCCAGGTGGGGAAAATGTTACAGCTCCAGGGAATGGGAGAGGTTGGTGACAGAGCAGCGGTCAAGCGAATGGGGGCTTTGACTTAACTCTATGATGTGGTGAACTCAGTTTGCAGTGATGAGCTAACGCACAACTTCAAAGGCTTCACGGTGATGAACGAAAGTGAGCGCTACGATGCAGTGCAGCACTGCCGCTACGTGGATGAGGTGGTGAGGAATGCCCCCTGGACCCTGACACCGGAGTTCCTGGCAGAGCACCGGGTGAGAAACTGAGCACCTGCCCCCTTTCCCCGTTCTGGAATTTCTTCAACTCTTGGGGCTGCTGGTACTTGGACTAGTTTTCCACTAGCCTTATTTTACTTCTACCTTCTATGTAAATTTCACAGTGAGGAGATGACAATGATATTACTACTACTAATAGTCATCCCTGACATTTATATGGGGTTAGATACATTATATTTCATTTTCTCCCCATAACAATCCTGTTGGGTAATCATTATATAAGAACAAGGCCAGGAAGACTAAATAATCTGGTCCAGATCACACTGTAGCAGGTCACACTGTAGAAATTGACTGCTTCAGGTAGGTGATCCCCACCCACCACCACACACTATAGTTGTCCATCCTCATAGCATACCAGTCTCTTTAGAATAGACATAGCCCCAGCTACGCTTTCCTCACATTCCAGGAAATAAGACAGATAGACACAGACTACTCTTGTGTTGACTAAAATTTAGTTTCAGGGCTTTGATTTTGGGCTAGAAGTTGTGTGCAATCAGAAATCAGGGAGATTTCGCACTATTGCTCAGCAAGTTAGTATTATAAAGCCCCTTACCTCCTTTTAATTATCCCACATTAAAGCAACAGGTTACCTGTAAAAGGTAGTTACAAAAGATAAGAGGATTTATCAGGTCAGGTTGGAGATCCTCAAGCCTGAGAAACCCACAGCATATGGTCAGTTTTCTACAGAGGTGTATGGAATGTTGAAGGTGAATTGTTCAATGAAACAGAAAGGAACAGAGGCAGCCAAAGTGCTTCAAAAGCAATACTTTTGAAGGATAGGCCTGAAGCTAAGGGGTATTTGTTAAAACCATTTTGGATTAGGACACACCTTTTACAGTTCTCTAGCTTTTCTACGTCAACACTTAGTGGTGCCAAAGGTAAGATTATTCTCAGTAACACAGCCAAGCAGGCCCAGGCAGAAGAAGTTAGAGGAACTTCCATTTTGCTTTTCTTCTTGTTAGCAGTGTATTTATGGGTAATTGAGATGTTAGCTGAGAATATCTGACACAGTCCTGATGAGCACATTTCACACCACAGGGGCTTCTGGGAGTTGGGTGTGGTGGTATTAGCAATTATATTAGCAAAGGGTCTATGTATGGCCTCTTCAGGAAGGAGTAAGTAAGGTTTAGCATATTTTTCAGAAAGATTATTGATCCAGTGCCAGTGGTCTCTTCACTGTTGCAAGAGGTATTGACACTAGTAAAATGGTAGATCCTGAGACCTAAAGATCTTTTATGTCTTTGGATTTTCCATTTCTCAGGAGTATAGATGTGCCTATTCTAATAAAAGCGTTCTTGGTTGCTATTTTTATATTCCCACTCCTCTCCTGGGCTGAGAGAGAAACCAGTTTACAAATAACCTCTTTCTCAGACTTCCAGAAACTTTATTTGATGAATTCTTATACGCCCAGGAGGATGATATGTCCTTCTTTCCTCACTGCCATACACTAGCACACCCAGCCCAATTTCGAAGCATGGTGACTGGTATACAGTGTGAAGGCAGCACCTCTAGTACACCAGGAGAAAGGAGCTGAAAAGAGAAACTTGCTGACTTCATATTTACGATCCATAAATAATTAGGTTGAGTGGCTTATGAATGAATCATGGAATTAATGAGTAAAACAACGAGAAAGAGAAAATGTCCAGCCCTGGCCAGTGTGGCTCAGTGATTGAGCTTTGGCCCATGCACCAAGAGAGTGCCAGTTCAGTTCCCAGTCAGGGCACATGCCCGGGTTGCGGGCTCAATCCCCAGTAGGGGGTGTGCAGGAGACAGCTGATTGATGGTTTTTTTTCTCTCTCTCTCTCTCTCTTTTCCTTTCTCTCTAAAAATAAAATAAAATAAAAAGAGAAAATGTCCATTTGAGGCATGGCCTCCCCTTTTTGTCCTTTTTCTGAGCCTGAGAGTTTGTACTGGTTCTTTCTGCATAGCAGGTATCTGGGTTATAAATGATGTTTCCTTATTTTCAGATTGATTTTGTGGCCCATGATGACATCCCTTATTCTTCCGCAGGAAGTGATGATGTTTATAAGCACATTAAGGAAGCAGGTGGGTAAGCTGATGTGCGTATTCTCACTGTGATGTGTACAGTCTCAGGGGCAGTGACAGAGATTCAGCCACATGACTACTCCACAGAGAAAAGTTTATACCCTGAGAAATTCAACATCCACTTTCAGGTCACACTTTGGATAAGAGGATAAGGCGAGCATAGCACTGAGACCCATCAGTTCTCAGACTAAACATCTACTATTGATATCTCTCTTAATTTCAGGAATTTCTCCAGCCCCATCTTTTTCTTAATATTAGGGCCATATAGCCCTTCCTTTCCTTAACTCCTTTCCTTTGATTCATTCCTCCTTCTGTATGTCAGTATCTCCAGACTTCCCTTAGTAATAGGAAAGGAAAGGAATGTTGCTCCCAGTTTCCATCTAGTCCTGCTGCCTGAGCTAACTGGAATGTCACAGTGTTTGTATGTGTTTTGGGGTTAGGCATGTTTGCTCCAACACAGAGGACAGAAGGTATCTCTACATCAGACATCATCACCCGAATTGTCCGGGACTATGATGTGTATGCCAGACGGAACCTACAGAGGGGCTACACGGCAAAGGAGCTCAATGTCAGCTTTATCAACGTGAGTCCAACCTCATCCCAGAGTTCCCTGGCCCTATAAGACACACATTGCCTCCTACTTCATCTGAGCTGAACTTACTTTTCAGTTTGCTGTAGTTATTTCCTCCAAAAGCTCATCGAATTCTTGCAGATAACACTATGCTGAGCTCTTTACAAATATAAAACAGAGGCATCTTCTGCCTTTATGGTCTAGTATTAATACATTGATATAAAGACACAAAGCCAATTCAATAAATGAGAATTTGCAACTTTAAAGTCTAACATGTATATCAAATACATTAATAGTGGTTCTTAGTTTTTTTTATTTATTTGATGTCCTTTAGAAAATCTGGTAAAAGCTATGGATCCTCTCCCTGTGTGGGTAGTGACACACATTTTGCATGCCATTCATTTCTCAGGACATATAGACCTAAGTTTTAAAATTTGATTTATAGAAGCAAAGTTTACCTTAGCTTAATATTATCCTTTAGCAACAAACTGCTATACATTTTGTGTATATAAATTATATCTCTATTAAAGTTTATTTAAAAAGAAAGCTGCTAACTATATCTTCTACATTAGTAGCTTACCAAGCTTCCTTACCTGTTCTTCATTCTGTGAATTATGACTAGGTGAAATGGTTTCATGTGAATATGATTTATCTATACAGATAAACCCTAGCTGTTGTTAACCGCCTACTATAGAACCTTTTCTCTTTTTTTAGGTGTTTAAAAATTTAAACATATTTCCTTACTCCTCTATGATTGGGAAATTATGAGAATATTTTTCATTTGACTGAAGACTCCTCCCCCCCATTTCCCTTCCTTAGGGAAGTTGGTAGGACCAAAGAGTATCATCTTTATTTTGTGAATGAGCAAGCAGGCCTCCAAAAACTAAAAACAACTCTTTTAAAATCATAGAATAAGCCAGTGGAGAAAAATCCAATACAAAATGAACTAAGCGAAGATCTACTACTTCCACTTTCAACCTATTATAGTGGCTTATTCTTGGCAATATTCTTCAGTAATCTGGTTCCCTTTACATCTCCATCTAGAATGTGCTTTGGGTTATGTTGGGCATGTTTATGTTCTAAGTCTATGTTTTATCTTTAAAAATGTTACTTCATTTGGTTGCATACATGTTACTGGGCCTACCCTATATACTTAGTTTAGTTTGGATTCCCATGATGTTAGAATTATCACATTTTTGTATAAGATGACCATCCAGAGCATATCTCACTTGTTATGCTAGAGAAGTGTGGAGTAGATTAAGCAAAGTGAAGTTCTAAAGACTGAAAAGAATGTCAATAGAGTGATGAACCATGTTTCTTTCCTCCCTTTGGTATGAAAGGTCAGAGTGGGTATTATTTCTTAAAACAGTTCTTTCTTTACCTAGGAGAAGAAATACCATTTACAGGAACGAGTTGACAAAGTAAAGAAGAAAGTGAAAGATGTGGAAGAAAAGTCAAAAGAATTTGTTCAGAAAGTAGAGGAAAAAAGCATTGACCTCATTCAGAAATGGGAGGAGAAATCCCGAGAATTCATTGGAAATTTCCTGGAAATGTTTGGTCCGGAAGGAGCACTGGTATGTTTTTTCCAGCTGGATAATTTAGGGAATTTTAGGAATATGTAGGGAATTCTCATGCGGTGGAAAAAATTATAGAATCCTTGAGCAGAAGGGGACATCCACATTCAGAAGTTATCTGATCTGTTCCTCTTATTGGGCAGAACTATATTTCAACTATTCCCCCGAAGTTCTTTCAAATCTTTACAGAAAGAGGTTACATATTCTCCTAAATAATTTTGCCAGTTGTCTATCAACATCCAAATCTGGTGACAAGGTAAGTAAGTAGCCTTGCCCACTTCAACACTATAGTTTTAGATAGAAGGAAAGGAAAGAACAAAGAACAATAAAAAGAAAGCTGCCTCCACTATTAAACAGCTGCCTCAGGATCACTGGGTGAGGTGGGGGTTCTGTCCTTGAGGAATAGCCAGGTTTCTTCAAGCCAAATAAAGGGAGTATGTGTAGCTATTCAGCAAGTGAGCCCTCGGTTAGATGTCAGGAAGGATCTAGATTATTCAGGGAAAATATGGAATTTCCTTTTCAGAGAACTCTAATACTCAGGAAGATACCTTTTGTCTGTGTTAATTCCTTTGTTTGTGCCTGGAGCTTGGACTACAAGCCAAGTAGGCTTTTAAGAATTCCTTTGACATAGAAGTCAGGATTAGGTGACTAGATACAAACTTTAGATAAGCTGTATAACATAGACCACTTTAGACAGAAAATTACTTAGAAATATAGTGACTTTTGATATTGCAGAGGGCACTCGTGATCATGTGAAGTCTCAGACATGCCAGTGGTGACTTAGTAGGATCCATGGGTTTCTTCTAACTCTTCCTTTTGGTCTCCCCAGAAACATATGCTGAAAGAAGGGAAAGGCCGGATGCTGCAGGCCATCAGCCCAAAGCAGAGTCCCAGCAGCAGCCCCACTCGTGAACGCTCCCCCTCCCCCTCTTTCCGGTGGCCCTTCTCTGGCAAGACTTCCCCTTCTTCCTCTCCAGCAAACCTCTCCAGGCACAAGGCTGCAGCCTATGATATCAGTGAAGATGAAGAAGACTAATTTTTCAGCCCTCCTTTCCTCTCCCCTCCCTTTGTCCCGTCACCTTCAAAAGCTCTGTTGAATTCCAAATTGTGATCCCAACAATAAACCTAAGGACGGCTACAAAGGAAAGACAATTGGGCCAGAGGACCTCAGACGGGGGGACCAGACAGCCCATTCTCCAAGAGATATCACCCACCCAAGAAGGAGGCTGACTACACCCTAGAGGCCTTGTCTGCATCCATATACCCTCCTCATTGACTTTGCTTTACTGTTTATGTTCATATGACCTTGACAGGGAAATTACCATTTTTATTAATTTTTAAAAATTAGTCTTTAAAATATAGTAAATAGAACTAATTATTTTTATTTTTATTTTTGCCCCCGAGGAGTGGGCAGAAAGAGGTGGTGTAATACCCAGAGGCCTTTTCTTCCCAGTAACACTATAAGTGTTTGCCTTCTGTTCTGAGGCAAACTGGCTTGCCAAATAGTTCAAGCAATAAGCCATGCTGATGGGTGATTTTGGGGTTGGGGGTGGAATATAATTTTTATTTCCTTGAAAAAATGCTAAAAGCCGGGTAATAGTTACAAATCCCTAACGGTACTGCTGGCACATGTGTCAATGTGGCTGTGGGAGAAGGCGGTCTAAGCCAAACTTACTCCCTGAGGAGTTTCTTGTTGAACCCACTGGGGTCCATGAAGACACTGATGGGCTTGGAACCAGAGCACATGGCATCAGCTGCGGCTTTTCCGGCCTTTCTGCTGTGTTCATCTCAGAAGACTCCGCGGCCCGTTACTTGGGAGCTCTTGTCAGTCTCTTCCCTGTAATCTACCGCTACAGGAAGGAACACTTTCAGGGTTACTGTGATTGCGGAGGGGGTGGGACAATACTCAGTCCTACACAGTCAGTTCAGATTCATTTTCCCCCCAGAGTAAGTCCCTGGCCCTGCTACTCCTATTTCTATGCTTACTACCTAGCTTTTTACAAAGGATACTTTGTAAATGTCTGTAATCTGAACATGATTTGTTAATCCATGCTGCTCACGGCCATATTGGATAGAGATTTGCATAGACCATGGACACAACCGCATCAGGAAATACCCACCTTCCTATCTTGAACTCTGCCCCTCTTAAGAATGTTCTTGACTGGAACCAGTGCTCCACACGGTGTTTGCTTTCCTCTGAGAGTGGCAGCTGGCAGGGACTTTCTTTCTTCCAAGGCCCCTCCAGCGAGGCTCAAAGCAAGGGCTCACATTACTAGGATACAGTAGGTTCTCTCTCCCCCACATGTGCCTGCCTGGTGGTCGGCAGGGGGATGATCCCTTAAATCTCACCTCAGAGAATGCTGAAGCTTCACACTTGCTATTGAGCTTGAGCTCGTTTTACACCTCCAGCAGCCTGCAGCCGCATGAATCAGACCATGATCCATCAGGAATCTTGTAGCTGTGTTCAGGGGAAAACTGCTTATGTCCAGGCCCCATCCTGTCACTCATGAATACCCCTTGTAGGGGTGGAGTTTTAGTGTTTTCAGCTAAGAAAACCACATTTTATCTTTTCTTGCTCCTCTGCTAGGGCTGCGAGCATCTCATAGACATCTCCCTTTCTGGTAAAACCTGCCTGCCTGCACACCAGGACTACCTAGGTTCTGAAAACTCAGATCACCCAGAGGCAGAGCACGGCAGAGTAGAGGGACAAAGGCGGGGAACCTCTTGTCCTGATGGCTTATGAAAACTGCATTTCTAACTCTTCTCATGAAGTGCTATTTTTACTATCAAATCTGGTTTACATGAGCTTCGGCTTGGAATCCTTTTCTTTTTAAAGGTGAAATTAATCTTGGCCTACATTACTCAGCTTCATAACGTTTCTGCCTTCGTTGGGAATTCTGTCTATTTCAGTCTTACTCTCCCAGGTATAGAAAGGCAATGAAGTCAGCACGGAAGCCCACACTTGTTCCCTTAAAGTACACATCTTATCCAGTGTATTTGGAAAGGGAGATGCCCAAAGTGTGGTTTTCCTCCCTGTAGTCACTCCTCTCAAGTATGTTATCTGGGTCTCAAATCTTTGGGCCCTCCTCCTCTGCTCTGTCAGTGGGCTGCTTTTGGCATGCTGACCCTTGTGATATGACCTCCAGGCCGATAAGCTCTGTGAGATGGCTAGGGCCGGCATGTACACAAGTTCTTAGAAAACTCCCTTGCCCCTTTTGGTGAGCCTCTACACTACAGCTTCAGTCTCCCAACACTAGTATATCTTCAAATACTTTTGCCTGAAAGCAAAAACTTTTAAGGTGTGGCATGTTAGCTGCTTTGAGATAAACGTGACCCTAGGTGCTGGATAAAAATGGGTGGGTGGAAGAAACTGTTGGTATGATGCATTATTTGATAATTTGTGCCTAATTAAATATGGTTGGCACGCCACAACCATACCAGTGACTTGTAAATCTTCTAACATTAATGTTTGAGGTTGTGGAGCTGTCAGCCTGAATAGGCCAAATGAGGCAGAGATGGGAGAGCCTTCAGAGTTGGATGGCCCCAGGGCCTGTGTGCAAGACACACAGAGAATGGAGAAGGAAGTCCTGTCAGTGCTAAGGAGGCGCCATTTCAGCAGTTTCCTTGAGATGGGCCGGGCAGAAAGATTGCTCTCGGCATATACTAGACTCAGTAGCACTCGAAACTTCAGAGGAATAGGAATGGATGTGTTTACTGCTATAGTTGCTTCTGACAGCTAGAGTCAAAGGCCACTATTTTGCTGAGGTTTGGGTAAGAAAGTCGGGGATGTGAGGAAGTTGAAAATCTAGAAGAGGAGGAGAAATATGAATGAGGTCAAGAGAATTTTTGACCTTTTCTGATTGCTGATAACTTCTTGGGCAGCTCCTGAGCTGCATTTTTTAAATTTTACTTGTGACCACACAGCTGGTCAGGCAGCCTCTGGGTATTCCCTCTACAACAGCCCTTCACAGTGCTTTTGTTGCTCTGTGCCTGTATTCTCTTGATTTGTGGGTAGCTTTCTATTTTCTGGAGCTCATTGCCTTTTTAATCCTGTTCCAGATCCCATATTTAAAGTCTTTCCAAATCAATTATACTTCACTGCTTTTCTTTAATTCCCTAAAAGCCATAGCTGCTATCTTTTCTGTCAGCACACACTCTTACCAATACATATAGGAAAAACAAAAGAAAAACTCCCTTAATGTTTTTAACTAATGGTATTTTTTTTAAGCTTACCAATATAAGTATTTTTGAAGGTTATATTTTTCAAAGTCATACGATGATTGTTTTTGTTTTCTCTCATAGAATAGATTGTCATGGGATAGAGAGTAGTCCCTGGCCTCTATTTTTCCAAATAAGTAGAACATGTTCTTTGGATTATGCTATTAGATGTTAATTTTCTTTAAAAGAAGAAAGATTTTCTGTCTGCCAAATTTATATATTAGTGCTCAGATTGGGTAGAAAACAAAAGTGCGAGGTTTAACACAGGATGACTTGGGTTGTGTTTCTTTAAGTTTGAATAGGATTTCCCACCCTTTTTTGGAAGCACTTGACTGTTTTGAACACAGAGAATTGGTTGGTTGGATTATTTGTACTGAGGAACCTGGGTGTGGGGGGTGGGGGAGACAAAGTCTTGGAAAGAAATGCTGGCCTCGGCATGAAAGTTAACCCTATCACCAGTGCCGACGTCTGCGGGAATGTTTTCCTCCACTAGTGTCCAGTATGTTGTTTGCCTGTCTGAGTATCATTAATTTGTTCAGAGTTATTCTGGCTTTTGTCATTTAGCCAAATAAAAGCAAAATGGTTTTACCTAATGTTTTATTTTCTGTGTTTTTGACCTGATATACATGTGTATGATACATTTTATGTATTTGGGGCTTTTTAAAAAAAGATTTTTATTGATTTCAGAGAGGAAGTGAGAGGGAGATAGAAACATCAATGATGAGAGAGAACCATTGATTGGCTGCCTCCTGCCTGCCCCAAAATGGGGATTGAGCCCACAACCCGGGCATGTGCCCTGACCGAGAATAGAACCGTGACCTCCTGGTTCATAGGTTGACACTCAACCAGTGAGCCACACCGGCCGGGCATATTTGGGGCTTTTACTTATACTCTCAATTCCTTTGCTTTTGCATCCTAATTTATCTCCTCAAAGTCAAGCTCCCTGACCATATGATAGGGGGATTCCTTTTGCAGCTTGGCACATAAGACTTAAAAAGCCATTGTCCCACAAAGGGAGGCTGACCCAGCTCTCCCAGGTCTAATGTCCTCAGTGCTCTAAGGACACATCGGTAAGGAAAAGAACACCTTTGATCTATTCTTCAGGGACCTGCTTTCTTCAAAACTGTGGGCTTATACTACTTTGCCTGACTGAGTTCTCTCATTCTTATACCGTAAGCTTTACCAATATGCGAGTTTTAAGGGCTAATCGTGGCACCCATGGGGGTATGTGCCCGATTATAGAGTTTCAAACTCCATTCTGTTTGTCTAATATGAAACTAAATTACCTTCCCCAGGCAAGACCCAAAACAATCTCATCCTATTGCATGATTCACCTTCATCTGTATAGTCCAGTGTAATTTGCCAGCTTGTACTGACAATGGAATCCTTCCCCATGTGGTCAATGTTGAGGGACAGCGAAGATATCATGTGCCCATCTCATGAGTACAGTGTCTCATTGTCCAAGCCGTCCACCTCAGGCTTTGAGGTTCGAATCCAGGTCTGGAGAAGGGAAAGGTTCATATCCAACCTTGTCGTCTTTCCTTCTGTAGTATATCCGTGTCAGCACAGTCAGCAGGAAAGTCTCCAGTATCAGGAGGTGGCAATTCATCACTGCAGTGCGGGGTGGAATGTAAAGTTAGTTATACTAAATTATAGCGGTGGTATCCCACCAGCAGCCCTGGCATGTCAGTGGGACAACACTTTCTATAATTTCTCCTCACACCAGCACCTAGAGCAGTGATGGTGAATCTATGACACGCGTGTCAGAGGTGACACGCAAACTCATTTTTTTGGTTGATTTTTCTCTGTTAAATGGCATTTAAATATATAAAATAAATATCAAAAATATAAGTCTTTGTTTTACTATGGTTGCAAATATCAAAAAATTTCTATATGTGACACGGCACCAGAGTTAAGTTAGGGTTTTTCAAAATGCTGACACGCCGAGCTCAAAAGGTTCGCCATCCCTGACCTAGAAGGCTGTCGTGAGTAACACAGCAGGTTAATAGTAAAGCCCAAACCAGAACTTGGCTCTCAACCTTCTGCAACCTGAGGCTAGCATTAAAACTCATTTCTTTTATGTGTTTTATCAGCATGATCTCTGCTTCCCAACCACACCCATTCCTCTCCCAAGAGCTAAGGATGAACCTATGGCTTTCTTGGTTGGCCATCAAGGCTGGCCTCAAGCTGTGCAACTGTAGCTCTCCTCTGTGTGATCAGAGAAGGCGCAGTCTCCTTAAATCTCTGCTGAGATCTTTGAAGATCCCTTTCTGAGTATTTGGAGCAGCAGCTTGCCTGGCCCAACCTCTGATCTAAGGTCCTCTCTTCCCTGACCCACCTCCTCTCACCCATCCTGGAAAGAGATAGGAACTTCTATGTGCTCACCTTGAGACCTGATTTTAGAGGAAAAGGGAGGTGAACAAGCAATCTGCCCACCATTGGCCAACACTGAGAAGATGGATGGCTGCAGGGCGGTCAGGATGAGGAGCACCTGCAGAAGGGAAAAGAGAAGCGAGGGCAGAGTGGGCTCAGTGTCCATGGCGCTGAGGTCAGCTGGCCAACTGCCATGCTTGTCCTGCCGCTGTGTGTTCGGCCAGCCTTTAGATCGCTGCAGTTCCAGAGCGTTGATTAAAATGTGGTGACGTTTGTAATCTTTAGAAAAATTACAACCTCATCTTCCTACCCAATATTTTATTAGCGTTCCTGACAAGAAACAACAAAAACTGATTGGGGGGCGGGGGGGTTCAAGTTTATTCCCTTATTTCAGCCATGGCTGCTAATGAGCACTTAAAGAATAAAAAGGATGGATGATTAGGGAAGAGTCAGTCCATCTACTTCAAGTACCTGAGATCCCTGCCGATAGAATGATGGACGGTTCACTATTAAAGTGCCCTTTGAAGAATCTCTGCTGTGCCAGGGCTGGAGGCGAAGGGGAATGAGTGTGCAATGGGTACAGAATTTCCGTGGGGAAGATGCAAACCTTCAGGGGATGGATGGTGGCAATGGTTGCCCAACAATGTGACTGCACTTAATGCTGCTGAACTGTACATATATAAGTGGTTAAAACTGTAAAATTTATGTCATATATATATATGTTATAACACAATAAAATAAAAGAAGAAGAAGAAAATAATCTCTATCCAGAGGCCCCAGGAGCACTATTTGCCTTAGTACTTGTCCCCCCGAGGCAAGGCAGACCCAGCTTGTCCAGGCTTCCCCACAGGCTCAGCAATGGCAGGCTTTTACCTGTGCCTGACCCTAAGGGCTTCTGCCCCTCAGTCCCTGACCCCATTTCAGGCTCATCTCTCTCTTCCCCTACCCCCTTCAATTCTACCTGCTATATGCCTGGAAATTCACATTTCAGAGGCATCTGCTTAGAGCAAATGAGAATTTATGTGAGACCACTCTGTTAGCTAAAACGCAGTTATTGTTTCTTGGAAGTAGGAGAAGGGCCCAGCAAGGAGACAGAAAGAATGGAGAGAGAAGGAAAACAAAATATTGCACTTGGTGGAAAAGTTGTCTTTGGACTTGGAGAAGAAAAGTGTAAAAAGCGAACAACATGCTTTTGAGAGAACTTTCAGAAGAGGTGTGATGATGAGAGGCAGTGTGAAGAGAAGGAATGTGGGTTGGGAGTTAGACAGATCTGGGTTTAAATTCTAGCCGCACTCCTGTGTGCCTTGGAGCAAGTCTCATGACATCTCTGGGTCTCAGTTTTCTTATTTGTAAAATAAAAATAATAATGACTCCTAAGATTATTGTGAATATTTAAATGTAATGTACAAAGCCATGGCCAGGTGGCTCAGTTGGTTGGAGCATTGTCCCACATTCCAAAAGGTTGTGGGTTTGATTCCTGGTCAGGGCACATACCTAGGTTGTGGGTTTGATCCCCCGTTGTGCATACGAGAGGCAACCAATCAATATTTCTCTCTCACATTGATGGTTCTCTCCCTCCCCACCATATCTTTGGGTGAGGATTTCTTTTTAAAGTACTGTATGAAAAGTGCCTAGCACATGGTGTGAGTAGTTCATAGTTGTAGCTGAGATAATGCTCATACTGCTAGTGGTGATGGATGATAGGATTTTAGGAATAATCATAGAAAAGAAAAAAAAGCAAAGACAGAAACAGTTAAGGTTATGGGTTGAATTGTGCCCCCAAAACAGATATGTTGAAGTCCTAACCCCCCAGTACCTCAGAATATGATCTATTTCAAAACAGCATCTTTGTTTCGGTTAACTAATTATATGTCATTAATTAAGATGAAGTCATTCCGGAGTAAGGTGGGCCCTTATCCTTTTTTAAAAATATATTTTTATTGATTTCAGAGAGGAAGGAAGAGGGAGAGAGAGATAGAAACATTAATGATGAGAGAGAATCATTGATCGGCTGCCTCCTGCATGCCCCATACTGGGGATCGAGCCTGCAATCTGGGCACGTGCCCTTTAGTCCACAGGCAGATGCTCTATCCACTGAGCCAAACCTGCTAGGCCAGTGGTCAGCAAACTCATTAGTCAACAGAATCAAATGTCAACAGTACAATGATTGAAATTTCTTTTGAGAGCCACATTTTTTAAACTTAAACTATATAGGTAGGTTCATTGTTATTAACTTAATTAGTGTACTCCTAAGGCTTAGGAAGAGCCACACTCAAGGGGCCAAAGAGCCGCATGTGGCTTGCGAGCCACAGTTTGCCGACCATGGTGCTAGGGCATTATTCTCATATGACTGATATCCTTATAAGAAGAGGCAAAGAGACAGATGCGTGAGGGAAGAAGGCCATGTGATGACTGAGGCAGAAGTAGAGAGAGGCAGCTGCAAGTTGAGGAAGGCCGAGATTGCTGGCAAACCTCCAGGAGCCGGGAAGAGGAAGGAAGGGTTCAGAGGGAGGACAGCCCAGCTGACATGTTGATTTTGTACTTCTAGCCTCCAGAACTGTGAGAGAATAAGTTTCCGTTGTTTTGAGCCACTCGGTGGTATTTGATCACAGCAGCCCTAGCAAACTCAGAGCAAAAATAGCACAAACAGCCGAGGCCGGTTTGGCTCAGTGGATAGAGCGTCGGCCTGGGGACTGGAAGGTCCCAGGTTCGATTCCAGTCAAGGGCTTGTACCTGGGTTGTGGGCACATCCCCAGTGGGAGATGTGCAGGAGGCAGCTGATCGATGTTTCTCTCTCATCGATGTTTCTAACTCTCTATTTCTCTCCCTTCCTCTCTGTAAAAAAATCAATAAAATATATTAAAAAAAAAATAGCACAAACAGCAAAATCTGGGAAGGGGCAGGGATCACTTTCCAAATCTCACAGGAACCTAAGGCTTAAGGAGGTTCCCAGACCCCTTTGAGCCTGTATTAGACTCACCTCCTAACCCCAATTATTTGTAGTTCTATTATGAGCCCTCTTTTCTCTCTCAGGGTGTAGTTACCTGGAACAGAGCAAATTTGGCCCCGATGTTCTGCTCGCCCAGGTGCAGCTTGGCTTGACGGAAAAGGATGGCCAGGCTCCAGAGAGCCAACAGGGTGGACACACCGAGGACAGTGTTGATCCACAGAGCTGTGCTCTTCTCAGAAATCTGGTGGCAGACCAAGTGGGAGTC